ACTGGAACTAAAGTCGTGTGCTACCAACACCCAGCTGACTCATTCGTTTTTTTTTTATACATCAGCTTGGTATAATCTTGAAGAGAGACCCCTCCTACTGAAAACTGACCTATTCAGGTTAGCCTGTATGTGTATCTGTGAGGAATTGTCTTGACAGGTTACTAATATAGAGGTCACCATTCCTGCAGGCAGGCCTAGGCAGTTATGCTTTTCTGGGGAACAGTCTGGAGACTTACCAGATTGATAAAGGGACTAGCAAACCAAAGCAGGTCATAATCACCATATGGTCATAAAGTGTAATTGTGAAAAGCTTGAGTTCTCCCTTCTCTTAGTTGGTCTTGGGCAGCTAGACTTTTTAAACAGAGAATTTGCAACAATGAAGTTGCAGTGTTTACTACTACCATGAAGTGGTCTACTTAAATATGTATCCACTAAATGCTTAAAATACTTCCTGTAAAGATTTCACTTTATTCTCAGCCATCTGCAATTACCTTGATCAAGGATGGGGGAACACATATAAATTTAACAAGTGACTAAAGATCTGCTTTTCCAAATGCTCAAATACTCCTCCCGTGTTGTGTTATAGAAATAAAATACTGTAGTTTGTTCTTTTTGCATAAAAGAATTCTCAGCAATAGCAATACGTCTCATGTGCCACAGATTAAATCTTGAATATTCATGCCGGCATTTAAAAACCTTCTGCTGCTATGCTACAGCCTAGTATTAAGAAATGTGTTCCAGCTCTCCTTTAGGGAGAAAGAATAACTGCAAATTAAATCAACGCTGTTGCTTATCAAAGACAGCAAGCATAAAGAGAAAGAAAAAACTTTAAGAAGTGGGCGAGGGTGGATTAAGTTCCCAGTGAAATAGGAATGTTTTATTGGTCTAGAGCCTGGAGAGGCTAATACTCAAGCAATGGTGACTATCTTTAGACACCAAGTATCCCCTGTGATTACAAGTCCCATTGGGTAAGCAGGCAATTGAATCCCAGATGACAGAGGCAAAGTTGAAAGAAATGGGGCAGGGTTGCACATCAAGAAACCCAGCAGATAAATAGACATGTTGTCAAACTGCCTTCCAAATGTTTATGGCTATGCATAGATTAGTGCTGCTCTCTCACTTGACCAGAGGAGCCCCTGAGTGGTACAACACAGTGGAGACACTCATAACTGGTGAGACAAAGTGACTGTTGAAGGCTCAACCCTAATTGGGACACCTATACCTCTCCACAGAATAGGAGCAGAAAGAGTATTAAGAACTGGAAGGTAAGCAAGAGTGCTGCGAAATGCTGTCTTTGTATAGGACGGGGCCCTCCCACTAATGAAATCACTGCCGCTATAGTTTCCTGCACAATGCTCGCACAGGTGAAGCCAACCAGATTCTAATGGAAGCACTAATGGGCTCAGTGGATTACAACAAAAAGTAAGGACATAATGATGAGAGGGGGACATGGAAGGGATGTCCAGGGGGGAGAGAAGTGGCAGCTGGGGTTGGGCCTATTAGAGACACAGTGTAAATACAGGAACTTGTCAAAGAAGAAATATGAGGCTTTTGGAAAGAATCCCAGCAGAGTAATGGGAACTTGTTTTCGAAATAATAAATTCTTCCTACGTAGACAGAAGAATGCGTGCACGGCATGCTTGCTTGAGATTTAAGCATTTACTGACCCTTTGTGATGGACTCAAATCCTAGAGATACGGACCAGTGTTTCTCAACGTAGAGCTATTGACATTTTAGCTCAATAGTTATTATTTGTTGTCGGGGCGGGGGGGGGTGTGCAAATTCTTGGGCTTTACTCAAGTACAATGTAAACTGGGCCAATAATTGAATACAATTTCTTCCTTCAATATGCTTGCTTCTTGTTGCTGTTTCCCTGGGGGATTACTGTGGCAGATGGGCACACTTTATACTGCTAGATTGTTTTGCAAAATACTAGGAATTGTGTGCATTTCCACTAGAAGTGTTTGCAAATAGTCTTTCTTCTAGCAGTATTTTTATGCTTCTTTTTTGCCAATCCGGTGGGCAAGTAGTGATTTATTTATGTGTATATCTGTTTGTTTGTTTTTTGAGAGAGTTTCTCTATGTAGCTGTCCTGGAAATCTATAGAAAAGACTGGTCTCGAACTCACAGAGATCTGCCTGCCTCTGCCTCCTGAGTATTGCGATTAAAGGTGTGCGCCACCACTGTCCAGCAAGAAGTGATTTCTCATTGTGAAGTCAGAAACCTTTGTAGAAGTGAGAGTCATACATGAAACAACCATCTACCTAGTAAATGTGAATTTACACACAGAAAGAACTGTAAGAGTCTAAAATGGTCATGTGTGATGACTGGTTGACCCTGAGGAAAACAGGTGCAGTTCAGGCCCCAGTGCTGCCTGCTGCAGAATTCCTTCCTGCTGGGAAATGGTCAGTGTTCTTGGTCTAGTCAGTCTTCCACTTGTGAAGTCTACTAACTGCTATAAATGTAAACTTCATCCAAACAGACACAGAAACGTCGAAAGCAATACATGAGTAAACATATGGGCACTTTGGCCTAGTTAAGTTGCCCATTAATAATTTTTCTGTTGGACCATATTCTATTTACTTTCAAATCAGTGTGATGCAAATATCTTCTCAAATTGCATATCCTTCAATTTTTGACATGGTTTCTCATGATATATACTCCCTCTTGGGACTCATTTGGTTTTTGAAACAGGATCTCACTGTGTAGCTCAGGCAGGTCTGGAAATCACTCTGTAGAGCAGGCTGGTCTCAAACATGAGGTACTCCTCCTGCCTCAACCTCTCAAGTACTGGGACTATAGGGTACTGTGGTCAGCAGCACATAACCTCTTGAATTATTGATGTAGTACTTTATGATAAGTAATAGACTCACTAAAATTTAGATGAAAATTATACAGGATACATGATGCCATCAATCTGACAATCATTTTGAATTTCTAATCTTCTAAATTGACCTTAGAAGACTTTTTGGCACTTATTGAAACTCCACATGCGAATTCAAAGTGCTTGGAAGAAGCTGAAGTGAGGCCCTTGCCCTTTTTCAAGACAGGAATCTAGACTGACATGTCCATATGTGAAAGGCAGCTGTTGAGAGGAGGCACAGAATTCAGAATCATTGCAACATAGGCTACTTATGGTTGATTCTTAAAACTAATTGGATGCATTTCAGAGGTCAATGCTATATGGGCTTACTTTATAAGGTATCAGTTTATATACAGAAAAATTCCCTTAAAACGTAGTCTAAACCAGTGGTGTTCAACTTTCCTAATGCTGCGACCCTTTAATACAGTTCCTTATGTTGTGGTGACCCCCAATCAGAAAGTTATTTTCGTTGCCACTTCACAACTGTAACTTTGCTTTGTTGTGAGTTGTAATGTAAAATCTATGTTTTCCAATGGTCTTACGCAACCCCTGTGAAAAGGTCATTTGATCCCCTAAAGGCGTTGTGACCCACAGGTTGAGAAACACTTGTGTAAAGCAGTTGAACTATTATGTTCAATTTCTCAGTTTTACTAAACATCTTTTGGCACTCCTCTTTCCTTAAAGCTATAGTAGAAAAGCTTAGCTAACTTTTATTTTAACCTGAATGAAAATATGCATATGTATTGAGGAAAATGGTCAGCCTCTCAACTTTATGTAAAGGTTTCTCAATTCATTTAATTTTATATTTACTTATTATCATAACTATTAGCATCAACTTAGTATCCTATATTTTAATCACATTATTTTCATCAAGGGCAAAAAATGTGTAATTTTTATAGCCTTAAGTATACAATTATATTTAATGTTAATTTTTAATAAATTTATTCATCTCTGGTGTTAGATTTATTTTTAAATAGAAGCTTCCATTTCTCATGTGTAGAGTTAGTCCCTAACTACTCCTGGCTATGATACCACATGCTATAGACTACTGACTCCTGTAATGCAAGTAAAATATGTTTTTAATTCACTTACCTTCTAGAATATAGGTCCAGTTTTTAGCTCATATTTAGATGGTTGATTGACAGCATTGTCATTTTGTTTTGTTTTTTAGTTAGGTAAAAGAACAAATCATTTGAATCTAGAATAATTTTATTGTTGGGTTCTGATAAATCTTTTCCTTTGGAAGTGTGACAGTTTTGATATGAAAGCATCTATAAAATGGGGCCCACAGAGCCTTAAGGACCTAAGACCTAATTGTTAATTATTCATGTTCTTATATTACTCATACTATTTTGAAAGACTCTATATATTTGAAAAGCTGATTTTAAATTTGAAGGCTAACGCTGAGTGTGGTGGTGCACATTTTTAATACCAGTGTTCTGGAGTCAAAGGTAGGCAGAGCCCTATGACTTTGAGGCCAGCAAGGTTTACACAGCAAGTTCCAGGCTAGTGGAGGCTACACAGCGAGAGACCATATCTCATAAAACCAAAATAAATAAATTAATCTTGAAGCGTCTCCTAAAATTAATCTGGAAGGTGAGAGACTCACAATAATCCTCTAACAAATTGTCAAATTATATATATATATACATATATAATTATATATTATATACATAATATATATATATATATATATATATATATATATATATATATATAATTTGATTTTTCGAGATAAGGTCCCTCAGCTACCTTAGCCCTGGAACTCACTCTGTAGACCAAGCTGGTCTCAAACTCTCAAGAGATCCGCCTGCCTCTGCCTCTTGAGTGATGGGATTAAAGGCGTGCACCACCACCGCCCCAGCTTCAAATACGAATCTTAATCCTCTCTCTCTCTCCCTCCCTCCCCCTCTCTCTCTTTCTCTCCTCACTTCCCAGTCTCTAGAAAGAAGTTCCTGTATGCAGCTACAATTTGGACCTTGGTCCGACAGAACTACAATTCCCAGCTGGCTGTGGACCCCCCCCCCCCCGCGGTTGCAGTGCACCCTGGGAAGGAGGTGTCCCGCTCCCCTCCCACCCAACGGCTTCGCGCGCGTGCGCGCAGAAACCCCGCAGCTCTTGTCGGGATTCCTCCGGAACTCATTTTGCACCTCAGACGTTGTGAGCCGGTGGGCTTAGAGAACAGTTCCACTTCCGGTGCTGCCGGAAGCAATTTCGCGATGGCCTCGTCTGCGGACGAGCCTGCCAAAGTGGCTGGAAAGGGGGACTCTCGCCCGCAGAAGCAGAAGCGCGAGGAGCAAGGTGAGGCAGTGTGAGAAGCGACGCCCCGACGTAGTGGAGCGCGAAGCCTCGTCTGTGTATTTCCTTGGCTGCAGACTTGGCTGCAGCCTCCTCCAGACTGAGGTGCCTGCACTTGCAATTGCTGACGGCTGGGGGTGTTGACCGCGCCGGCCACGTGTTTCTGACTCCGTGCCTCCCCCGGGGGCCGCCCCCGACGAGGAGAGCCGTTGGGGACGGAGACTTCGGAAGGCCTGGCCGCCCCAAACTTTTATCCGATTGCTAAATTACTTCATGTCACAGCCCAGTCTATAGTTTGGACTGCTAGTTTGATTTGTGATACCGGAGTTGGATTATTCTCTTGCTTTACTTATAATTTGTGTTTTACCTACCTTCAGTGTGAAAATAGATCCCCAAGAGATGTGTTTTTTGCTTTGTTTTGTTTTGAGACAGGGTTTCTCTGTATTGTTTGGAGCCTGTCCTGGAACTCGCTCTGCAGACCAGGCTGGCCTCGAACTCACAGAGATCCACCTGCCTCTGCCTCCCGAGTGCAGGGATTAAAGGCGTGCGCCACCAACGCCCGACGAGATGTGTTTAAAGTTATTTTTTTTTTAGTTGCTGCTTTTAAAAACTAAGTACGTAAAGTACAGCAGGGACTACAGACATTAGTAAAAGATCAAAACAAGGAACTGACAGACTCTTAGGAAGAGTTCACAAGTTTCCCATGTGCCAGTCACAGGGGATATTTTCCCTTCTGGTACCCGGAGTAACTGGTCTGAAAAATTCGAGTTTGCCGTTACCTCTCTTCAGCCATTATTTTCAGCACAGTGCATCGTTTTTGCCTCGGCAAAATGCAGGAACCCATATGCCTGCTGTGTCCTTAGCTTCTCTTTGGTTATTTAGCCGAGGTGATGTTTGTAGGTGTGATTTTTAGCCTTCTCTCTGTTATGTAATGCTGCCGTATGGGAAATACTTTTAAATTCTCCCTTTGTGGACATTTGGGTTCTGCCGTGGTGAAGAAGCCGAACCTCCCAATTTGGCTCACTAAGAGATGAGATTTCTCATTGTTCCAAATTTACAGTTATTATTTCAGTTTTGAAAATGTGCTGTTACACAGATAAGAAGTTGTATGTTTGGGGACTATTTGTGCTTCCTCTGTTGTGGAAACCTCTTTGGTTTCTTTTGCCTTCCAGTGCTTTGGTAGGTGGCCGTTTTCCCCTTTACTGATTGATAGCAGTTGAAGCGTTTAAATGGGACAGGGGCACACTCATAATGCACTTTACGTTGCCGGTGTTTGTACAATTGCAGTTTGCATTTTTAAAAAGAAGACATTGGAAGACGAATGGCTTAGGAGGACTAATTCTTAGTATTTTGAGCTGGAATGGAAAAGTGGAAAGCAGGTTTTCTTCACTGGGGCTGATAGCCTTTCAAACTTTGTGGTTTACAGAGTGCCAGATGAGATCGTTTAAGAACAGATTTCTGGCCCTCACCCCAGAGACTGTGATTCTGTGTCTGGATGGAGCTCAGGTAGCATTGCCCGCCAACTCCCACAGGTGTGCTGCTGCTGCAAGTTGACAGATGATATCTTTGAGTATAACAACGTGCGGCTGTTAGATTTGAGGGAGTTTGAAGGTCTGGGACAGGATGTTTTAAGAAGTGATACAGGGTTCTCCAGGGTTGTTTTCATTTAGTTATCAGTGTTCTAGGCAGTTTCAGCTTTTGTCCCTTGGAGTCCATTAGTTCTTTTGGATTGAATATCTTCTATAAAGTAGAAATAATAACAGTGATACTTCTTTTATTAACAAAATGTGTGTAGGAAGCTCTTTGGGAAACTTAAAATTGTATCACAGTGATTGTGAATTGACACTATACATCAGATTCCACTTTTAAATTTTTCACATGCACAGAGGTTCTATACCAGGAAAGTCAGATTATTAATATTAAAGCGATAAAGGGGTGTTTGAACCATAATATAGTGCAGTAAAAGTGTGTTAATTGCTGTCTACTAATACATCCCAATTAGAGTGGATACAAGGAAGAGTGCCCCTGTCCTTGAGGAACTTGTGCTGAGGCACCTGCAGTGTATTCAGATGGTCTGATATAGTATAGCGGCGATGATGATGATGTCAGGGTTGTGGTCATGATGTTGAATAACATGAAAGCCAGTGAGGAGGACTGTATGAGAAAGCTTAGTGTGCGTAGAATGTACACCAAGTGTCTGGAAGACCATTAACACATGATGTGGAATTCTGTTTTCTTCTGCAGATGAGGCAGAACTCCTCACGGTCCCTGACGGCTGGAAGGAACCAGCTTTCTCCAAAGAGGACAACCCCAGAGGACTCTTGGAGGAAAGCAGCTTTGCAACCTTGTTCCCGAAATACAGAGAGGCTTACCTGAAGGAGTGCTGGCCTTTGGTGCAGAAGGCCTTGAATGAACATGTATGCAGGCATTAACAATTCTTCTGAGGTTTTGCTCTAGCTTTTGCCTTCACTTTTAATGAAGTTTGTGTGTGCTGGTGGATTTTGGCTTCACAGATGCTGACATAGCTGACCAGCTATGTTTGGTTCCTTTGGTATTTGAAGGAGTCTAGGTAAACTGTAATCTTACAGGTCACTCATTTTTAATTTTGTACGTAATAAAACACAGAAATTCCTATGCTTTTCATAATAGAGAGGTATCTCAACTGTCTGCAATCACTTGTGGCATATAGATTTCCAAGCGCCTTTTCCAGGCAGTATTGGGGTTACCATGTACTTGAGCCAACCATGTTTCAGATTTTATTTTAAACAAGACCTAATGCAGATTTCCCTGTTTCCTGCTGACAAGTCTCTAAGGTGGTGGTGTGGAAATGTTCACTACTCACCATAATTTGGGATTCTTCTAAATGTGTCAGAAAAGAGCATTTCACTTTGCTCTGTTACAGTGTAGTTCTTGGGGCCATGGAGATAGGTCAGTTGGTAAAGTGTTTGCAGTCAAGCATTAGGACCAGAGTTCTATCCCCAGAACCAGTGTAAACAGCCAGGCGTGGGGGCAAGATCTGAGACTCATTTTGGTGATCTCCAGAAAGTGCCCAAGGAGCAAATGCAGGGTCTTGAACTCTGGCCCCTACATGTCATGTGCATGAATGTGCACACTCGCTCACATGTACACAGGTTTTTTATTAAACATCTGGGTCGCTATTGAGAGTTAGTGCTCATCTTTGCTGATGACTGTTTCTTTGTGAAGCTGTGAGCATTTGTTTTGTATTTAGTCCCTTAACCAGGTAGAAAGAAATTTGAAAGGAAAATTCATTTCTCAGTCTTGGTTCCAGCTGCTTCAGTTTCTCATCTCCTGTTAAGTATGAGTTTAATCAACTTCTCATTATTTGTATTTAACTGCCCAGCTTATTCAGAGTCGTAGTGAGAGGATTTGTTAGTTAGCTGAAGGACAGAGAGATTGGTAGGTGGTTGGGAGCGGCTCTGTTCTGATCTAAAGTTAACCCCCCTTTCCACCCTTTCCTTCTGTTTTGTAGCATGTTAAAGCAACACTGGACTTGATTGAGGGTAGCATGACTGTGTGTACGACCAAGAAGACTTTTGACCCTTACATCATCATCAGGGCCAGAGACCTAATAAAACTCTTGGCCAGGAGTGTTTCATTTGAACAGGTGTGTCTAGGGCCGGGTGTGCATGTGCCTGTGCGTGTGCACGTGTGTACAAGCACACATGTGTACAGCCAGCTTGCTGAGCTGCAGACCAGTGAAAAACTCTGCTCAATAAACAACCTGGGCTGTGCCTGAGGGAAACGGGGCTTGCTTGTTCGGCAGCCTGTACTACTGTCTCTTTCCGTCTCTGCCCCATTCTCCCCACCCTCCCTCAAGTTTTCTGTCTGTGCCTAGGGTTCATGAGCCTAGGCTTGGAAAAGAACGCTGTTGATGCATTTTTTTTTCCTCCTAAAAGGCAGTACGGATACTTCAGGATGATGTTGCATGTGACATCATTAAAATCGGTTCCCTAGTGAGAAATAAAGAGAGATTTGTTAAAAGAAGACAGCGGCTTATCGGTCCCAAAGGATCTACATTGAAGGTACTTGGCATTGGTGGTGTGTGAGCATCTCTGAACTGACTTTTCCGTGTACTGAGTTTGAATTTGCTGTTTTGATGCAGGCATTGGAACTCCTAACAAACTGTTACGTCATGGTTCAGGGGAATACAGTTTCAGCCATTGGGCCTTTCAGTGGCTTGAAGGAGGTGAGCAGGATGACCTGACATTTTCGCCAGACAAAAAAAGAAGTAATTTGGTAGTAATAGAATTGTTTGTTGGACGGTGTTTTATAATCATTGTGTATTTTTAGAAAGGTTTGTTTGATTTCTCATTTGTATATTGTATGCCACATAACTTGGGTGTCATCACTCTGGAACCAAAGGTGTTTTGGGAAACTTGACAACTGTTGAGACATTCACTTCTGAGTTAGGTCTGTGCGTCTTCACCCATCCCGCTGTAAGACTTAAAATTATAGTTCACATCTTAGTAGCTCATGTGAGAGTCCCTACTAGTGTCCCTACATGTGGGCAGTAGTATTTGGAATACTGAGCAGAAGCCTCATTCTGTAGTAACGCACGCAGCCAGTAGGGGTCAGACTCAGGAAACGTTTCTTCAAGCCTTGTGTCTTATGCTATAGTGTGGCCATACTGGTTTCTGTAACTTGTCAAATGTTTTGAGAATACCCATAGAGCATGTCTTCAAGTCCTTTTCATACAGTTCTCAGCTGGGTCTGGCTGTGCAGTTTGCCTCCATCCTGGGGCATTTTTAATAGTAATTCTGTTGGCCTTGTTCTCATAAATTGCATATTCTTTTCTAAGGAGCAATAATAAATATATCAAATATTTTACAGTTTTAAAAGTTTTTGAAAATTTTATGTAACTCAGAGTAGATCTGATAAGATATAGTTTCATTTCTATTTTACAGATTTAAAGATGAAATGAGAATATTAATTGACTCTTACATGATGTGGCAGTCCCAGGATTAGTATTATAAATAATAACTTAGTATTATTTTTACAGAACTGCCAATCAAACCTAGGTCCTTGTGCATGATAGACAAATACTCTTCTACTGAGCTGTAGCCCCTGTGCCAGGATTTGAACCCTCCCCCTTTGACTCTAAATCTAACCCTCTAAACACTACCTCTAGCATACTGGCTGTTGTGTTGTTTACTATATAGTGACAGTAATGAAACAGTTTTTGATTGTAAAGGTTGACTCTACTCAGAACAATTGGGTCATAAATATCCAGTGTAGTGATTAGTCTCTGATCCATAGGATATTGTATAGTAGGTTAGTCCTCTTCTGTCCAGTTGGTTGGAAATATTTGTAACTGCTTCATTTTTCTCTGTAAATTTCAGGTTCGAAAAGTAGTCCTTGATACCATGAAGAACATCCATCCAATTTATAACATTAAAGTGAGTATTGATTGTACATCATTGTAACTTCACAAACTGCTTTTGAAAATTAGATATTCTATAAAAAGGTAATATGCACAGAGACAGACAGAGCAAAGCTATTTTGGGTGAACTGGGGTAGAATACATCCCACCCTTTGGTGCGTGTATCACCCTTGTTAAGACTATGGGAGGAGATAGGTGTCATTTATTGTAGTGTTCTAATACATTGAAAGTAAGCCTCTCAGAACTGATTGTAGGTGATTTCAGTTGGATTCTGCCTATTTTTCCAGAAGGTTGCTTTAAAGCTTCCTTTGGGATTTAATGCTAGTATTGTAGCCCCTTTGGGGAGAGGCTTGTATGCCTATGTGTGCAGTCGCTGGGGTGGGGATGTAGCTGTAGGACCTGCGCTGTGGCGAGACTTGTGGAGATGCACTTAAACTTGAATAGGTTGAAGAGTCACTAAGATTGGGGTAAAGTGATTTTAATTTACTGACTTTTCCCTCTGCTGCCTCAGTTACTACTGAAGTGTCTTGCCCACAGGAAGCGCCCGCTAATTAAGACCTGTCTGGTACAAGGTTGAACGTTGACGAAGTGATGGCAGAGAAGTAGAGCTTCATCACCATACTTAGGGTTAATCTCCATTCTTACAGTTCCTGATGTTTGCTCAGTTGTGCCGGTTTAAAATAGCAATTGTTCCTTCTTCTGAATGCACTAGGAGCTTGTTCCTTACGTTCTAGAAGCAATGTGTTAACAAATGAATTTTAAAATTTAAATTTTTATTTGTGTGTATGTGCCTAAAGACCTTGATGATTAAACGAGAGTTGGCAAAAGATTCTGAGTTGCGATCACAGAGTTGGGAAAGATTTTTGCCGCAGTTTAAGCACAAAAATGTGAATAAACGCAAGGAACCAAAGAAGAAGAATGTTAAGAAGGAGTACACGCCATTCCCTCCTCCACAGCCAGAAAGTCAGGTTAGTGAGGGGTAAATGCCAGTGCAGACGCGACTGACCTGTTTCTGGAAATGTTTCTGAGAGTCCAGGGTGGGTGTGGGTGTGCTTGCGTCAGGACATAAGAACATGACAGTGAGGGGCGGTGTCAGGCAGCCAGTGTTGTGTTGGTAATTGTAGCCCAGGAAGTTAACATTTTTGATTGTGTACTGTGTCATTTAAGAGTCGGAACTCTCATCCATTTGTTTCTGCATTATGGATTCCTTCCGTTTTTGCCCTCTTTCTGATTCTTTCCTATACACTGATGGCCAGGATTTCCATTTCTTTCCTGCCCATCCCTTTGTCTATTAGCTACACCCTTCCAGCAAAACTCAAAAATTTAAAGTTTAGGCCAAAAAATCAAAGTGGAGAAAAGAGCTACCTTTGGATTAAAGTCACTAAAAATTGGGGTCCCCAACCTCCGCTAGGCCTGAGTGGCAATCCTTCTTTGTGTCTTCTGTGAGTTCCCTCCTATATGGGCAAATACCAGTTGGCCTCCTACAGAGCTGGAATATTTGAGGCCATCAGAAAATAATTCCTTTGACTACTGCCCGCCCATCTTTGTGCTTGGATTTGATCTATATCTCCCTGGGTCTTGTTTCATTATTTCCTTATTTGTGTCTTAAAATATTTGATATTGACTAGGTTGTTTCTGATAGGAACATAAACCATCTTCTGGCCACTGCCTTCTATTCCTTACTGTCCTGAGTTTGGAGTTTTCAGGGAAAGTCTTAAGGCCAGGGGTGGGAGGTATTATGAGAGAGTGAAGATCATAGTGAGGAAATGGAAATGCCAGGCAGGGGCACCTACTCTGGGAAGGGGAGAAAGAGACGGACAGGAAATTAGAGCGGTGCTAGAGTGCCAATGTATCATGTTGTAGACTTGTACGATTTTGTGGGAAGTCCTGAAATCAGGAATTATGCTTCTGACTTTTCTCCTCTTTCTCATGATTGCTTTAGCTTTTTAAGATCTGTGCTTGCTATGACCTTCAGGATAGCTTTCTCCCTTCTGTGAAGAGCACTAATTGCATTGACATCACAGGTTGCTGTGGATAACATGGGCATTCATCAGTACTGATTCCTCGAATCCATTAACAGGGAAGATGCTTTCATCTTTCTGCATTTTCAGTTTCTTTGATTAATGTTTCATAGTTCTCATGGTAGAGGTCTTTTATTTTCTTAAGTTTCTAGGTGTGTATGCACATGTGACTCTAATGAATAAGATTGCTCCAGTCTTGCCCGGCCTGCTGGACATGTTTCCTAGAACAGCCGTGAATGTGGCCCATTTGCAGAAGATGGGGTCGTGCTGTAATATGAAAAGACTGGACACCCTTGAATTTAGATTTGTTCCTGGGGTTTAGAAAAGTTAATGGCTGTGTGTGCTGATTTTGTATCTTTTCCCAAGTTCATGCATCTGTTTTAATAGTGTTTTGATGGAGTCCTTACATAACTAACAAATCTATAAACAGGTAATTTGATTTCATGCCCAGTTGCTGTGGCTACAACCTCTGGTGCTGTGTTGAATAAAAGCATTCAGAGTGGACATCTTTAGTTCTCGATCTTGCAGAACAGTCTTTGAGTTTTCCAGTGTGATGTTGAATCTGGGTTTTCTCTATGGCTTTTATGTTGAGTTTTATTAACTGCTTTTGCTGTATGTATTGAGATGACTATAGATTTTGTATGTCATTCTGCTTCGTTGTTAACATGTATTGATTTGTGAAGAGCCATCTTTGCAAATATTGACTGAAAAGAACATGAGCAAAGTATTTTTATGAGCTGTTGGGTTTGACTTGTTGGTCTTGCATTTTCTTGTTTTTCAGGGATATTGGTGTATGGTTTTGTTATCAGGGTAATGCTGCCTGTATAGGATGACTTTGGAAAGAATTCTTTCGTTTACTTGGAATGGCTTGAGAAGAATTCCTTCCTTCCTTCCTTCTTTCCTTCCTTCCTTCCTTCCTTCCTTCCTTCCTTCCTTCCTTCCTTCCTTCCTTCCTTCCTTCCTTCCTTCCTTCCTTCCTTCCTTCCTTCCTTCCTTCCTTCCGTATACAGTGTTCTGTCTGCATGTGTCCCTGCAGGCCAGAAGAGGGCTCCAGATGATTGTGAGCCACCATGTGGTTGCTGGGAATTGAACTCAAGACCTCTGGAAGAGCAGCCAGTGCTCTTAACCTCTGAGCCCTCTGACATTAGTTCTTAAAGTTTAAAATTCAGCAATCAAGCCATTTGGTCCTGAGCTTTTCTCTTTTGATTTCATCTCTTGTTGACAGATTTTAATATCTTCATCTTATTTTGTTAAGATAGCTGAACTTTTTTTCCTTCAAATTTTGTAATGAACATGTAGTTGTATAATAACTGCTAGTGAATTTTTTTTTTAGTGAGTACTGGTTTTAATATCCCCCTTTCCTAATTGTTTATCTGTTCTTGTCTCTTGGCTAGCATAGCTATTTGGTCATTGCCCTATTGTTCTGTGGTCTTTATTTCTGTTGTACTCTTTCTTATCCTCCCATGATTTGGGGTTTGATTTGTTGCTTTCTGAAGCCATAGTTGATGGCTCATTGGGTTGCTTATTTTAACTCTGTGAAGTTGCTATGCATTGCTCTAAGTCTCCCTCTCAGTACTGCTTCTTACAAGGCTTAACAAGTTCTTAAACATTCCTTCTGAAAAATCCATGCACTTGAGGAACTTCTAAAATGTTTGTTGCTGAATAATTATATTCTATGTTATAGGATAGTTTTTATTTTATTTCTCAGGGTTTGTTTTCAGCCTAATATGGTTTAGTATAGAAAAACTTATTTGATGAAAATGTCTTTTGTGCCTGTTGGATATAATGTTCTTTAAACATCTGTTTGAGCTACAGTGTGGGTTAACTTTTTGTTTGGATTATTTGTGCACTAATGAAACTTGGCTATTTCAGTGTCTAATGGTGTCCACCTGTAATCTCACTGCTGGAGCACTTGGCCTTTGACGGCAGTAGTGTTGACCTAGCCAACAGGCCATGCCACAGGAAGGGTTAGGTGTTAGGAACCTTAGGAGCTCTCCAACACTGAGCCTCCCCGCAGAGCTGCCCAGTCAGGAGGGAGGTGGGGACAGAACAGTGATGGTTCTCCTCTCCTTTGATGGCAGCGTGTACCTAAGAGCTGGAGTCAGTAAGTTTGACCTTTTCACCATGGACAGCTCACGGTGTGACGGTCCAGCCATAGCTGCTCTAGGGCCCCTCTGTGTGTTGGTATTGGAAGAACAGTAGCAAATACGGTAGTTTCTTCCTTTTGTCCTCTCAGTGACAGGTCAGCAAGAGTGGGTTAGAACAGCAGAACCACTTAGATGCCTGCTTCCAGTCCTAGCACTGGCTTAAAGTCACAATTTTGACCATTCCCTTGCTTTGACAGGGTTCCCTATCACAGCGCAGGTCAGGTTCTTCAGACAACTCAGTGAAGTGTCTGGGTTGGCAGAGATAGTATGCAGTGTTTGTGGTTCCGAGAGTAGTCCCTGCCTAAGACTGTGGCCCCTGGGAGATAATGTCAGACCCTTGTTACTGCCAGGCTAATGTGCAGATCTCAGGTTCTTTACCTTAGTGGCTTGAAGCTATAGTGAGGATCGCCTCCACCTGCACTAGTTTGCTGGCCGTTGTTTCATGCACATCCCTGCAGAACAGAGAAGCATTTTCTCCCCTTGCTCAGTAGCCAAGATGCTTTGGGGTATTTTGTCTCTTTAGGCCTCTGTTGTAGGCTTCTTATATTTTTATCTCTTTCTGATACCCCATGTTCTTATGCTCATTCACCCCCAAACAGGGCTATACCCCTGTTACTTTGGCTCTTTGTAGAGGGAGGGATGGGCCAGGCAACTCCATTTGGCTGACTTGTAAGCTTCTTGAAACAGCAGTGCCTCCCTGGACTTGTCCTCTACCCTTCTGCGACTGTGAGCAGCTTATTTTATCTGACCTCTGGGTCGGTCAGTGTCCTCATTCCTCTATGAGGTAATGATACCAGTGTAAGGAACCGTTAATGAGGGTGGATTATAAGAATTAAGACAGTGACTTTGTTTGGGTCCACCCTCTTCCCTTTTTGAGACAGGATCTAGTCCTTCTTACCTTAGCGTCTCTGGGTGCTAAGACCAAAGGCATGCACAGCCACCCCTGGCTCATATCCTGTTGCTGCTCTTTCGTGGCATAGCTTCCATCCTAAGTCACGTTCAACCTTCCTGGAGTCTCAAGTCCTACCCACCCACCCCCTTCCAAAGTCATGTAATTCCTTTCACTTTTCTGAAGCCCTGACTTTTGGTGCTGCCTGAATTCACGAGTTTTGTGTTTCATGAACAGTGCCTTCTGTCCTAGTTCCATGTTTGTATTAGTGTCAGCTTATACTTCCTTCATATGTGACCTGGCACACCATGACTTATTAGGAAATCCCCTTCACGTGCATTATTTCTGATCTAACAGTAAATACTGTTTCTAATAGATTGACAAGGAGTTGGCTAGTGGTGAATACTTTCTGAAGGCCAATCAGAAGAAGCGGCAGAAAATGGAAGCGATCAAGGTAAGGCCCGTAAGATTACTCACAACATTCGCAGCAGGTTTGATACCGCTCGTGCTCACTAAGGCTTTTCTCACTGGCCTAGGCCAAGCAAGCAGAAGCTCTTACGAAGAGGCAAGAAGAAAGAAACAAGGCATTCATTCCACCTAAAGAAAAGCCAGCCGTGAAGCCAAAGCCAGGCAAGTAACCCTGAGTGCACGTCTGTCTCACACTAAGAAACAACATTGGTTTCATCAGCTCACAGACCTAGGCAAAAGTGACGAGTAATCAAAATGGTTATAATCTAGGGTGGCTTCAGGGTCCTGCCTCACAGCCTCTGCTGGGGTTAGATTCTCTGTAGAAAAGATGTAAACCCAGAGCTATCTGTTGCCTCTGAAGACAGAGCTGAGACACCTGACTACAGCTGCCACGCCTCAGAGGCCTTTCCCAGCTGTGGCTTAGAAGCTCGTTTCTGTGTTAGCTCATACTTCATCTTAACAGGAAAGTCTTCCTATGGTGTCTGGCCTCGTTCTGATGCATCCTCTCCCATCTTTGCCTCTGGGTGACACTTGTCAGAGCAACCCTCCAAAGGCAACATTGACTCATGGGGGTGGGGGTTAAGGAGTAAGCTACACTAATGTAGTTGCCTCAGAGTGGAGGTTAAAAATGTACCTCCAGTGTCCAGACTATTTGAATGGTGCATTTTATCTTTGGATTCTTTCATGGCTTGAAAACTGTACCTTTATAAGAAAAAGTTACATCCTTTTAAAATTTTCTGTATTTAGTTCAGCCTTTTGACAGTTTGGCCTGTTAAGAGCACCACATGCTCTCACATAAAATCGTGGTAAATAAGTCTAGTTAGGACTATACCTAATACTTTCCATGGAATGAAATTTTAAATTCTGTGAAGTGTAGAAAATTGGCCTCTTAGTGAATACTCATAAAGGAATGGACTAATTGAATATACTACCATGCTATTTCTATCGAAAACTTTCAAAAAAAAAAAACTAACTACAATTGCTCCACTGCATGTTCTTTATTTTGTCTTTCTCTCCTGCTGTTCTGTTTCTCTCCAAATCTTTTTCTTCCCCAGTTCTTGGGGATACAGGTATATATACTGTTTGGAACAGTAATTCCTTTGTTGAGTTTCTCAGGGTCAGCAAGTCAAAGAAGATTTATTCACAGAGCAATAAACTAAAACTGCTAGGAGAAACTTTTAGCATCAGTTACTAGGGCTGTCGGTCAAAGAGTGTGTCTGTTTAATTTGCACAAGAAAGAAAACCTGGTGCCTTCGGGTGCCTTGGTTCCGTGGTGGCACAGGCCTTCAGGAAAGTTTACTTTTCCCTGAGGATGAGCAAATGGGCTGACTGCCTTTGTCTTTATCTTCTCAGGGGAAACAGGAAGGAGCAGTAAAGTCTGAGCTAAAATCTTGAGTTAATACAAGTTTGAGAAATCTTTTAGTGCTGGCTTAGTTTAGGTTATTGATTCTCTATCTGCCAGTGAGGCAAAGCCAGGGCATGCTTATGTTCTTCTATCCATCTGGGCAGCTATGAATCAACTTGGGACATGTAGTAATTCTATGTCCTTGGATATCTGGGAATATCTTAGATGGAATACTTTTGCCTGGGTCCAAAACACTGACCAAATGCCTGTCAATAAAGGTAATTGCAGGAAGGCAGATCTCTGCAGGTGCAATGGAGACAGAAACAAGGACCTGATAGTGGGAAACAGGTGTTTACATATAGCTGAGGAATGTAATCAGTAAAACTCCAAATGCATGGGAGATATGTGTTCCTAGTAAATGATCTGATGGTGCTGAACTGTGGGGAGTAAAATCCCAAGTTTGTAACAGAAAGGAATCTACAGCAAGAAACAACCAGTTCACTCACGAGATTATAATGCCAGGTACAGCTTTTTGTACTGGTTTTATCCATCAGAAAAATCCTTAATTCTTCTAAGTTACCTTGTGATGCGAAGGCTGTATAATTACTGTTTGAACTTGTGGCATATTTCATCTGTATAATTTGTTTAAAGTTCTCTTTTAAATTGTTAAGCATATAATTTGAAATTTGCATATTTGTAAAATTTTGCAGCATCTACTGAAACGAAGATTGATGTGGCAGCTATCAAGGAAAAGGTTAAGAAAGCAAAGACCAAGAAACTGGGTGCTCTTACAGCAGAGGAGGTTAAGCTTAAGATGGAGGCCAACGAAAAGAAACAGAAGAGAAAAAAGTAACATTGGGAAACATCTGGAACTGAACTTTGAAGGTGTTTCCTTTTGTGAAGGATTTTGAGATGGCTTTATATATAGCTGCCTCACCTGGAAGTCGTCATGCTCAGAAGCTCATGGCCAAATCCTTTGTAAATATGTTTGTATGTTTGTACGTACTCTCAAGTTCAAGTGAGATGGTGGTAGATACCTTCGTGTACATTACACATCATTTTAGGAATACCTCTTTTATAATTTTGGGAAGAGATTGATTATTCATCAAATCCACTGATGTCATTGGTTCGTCTTTATAAACATACCCAAAGCGTTTGGTTTTGAGGGAAATAATGCAAATTTTCCAGTACGAATGGCAACTATTTATGTAAATTTTTTCCAGGATAAAACAACCCACAAACAGAAAAATCAAGACTCTAAATCAAATTAAGGAAATGGTACCGAGCCGGGCATTGGTGGCGCACGCCTTTAATCCCAGCACTTGGGAGGCAGAGGCAGGCGGATCTCTGTGAGTTCGAGGCCAGCCTGGTCTACAAGAGCTAGTTCCAGGACAGCCTCCAAAGCCACAGAGAAACCCTGTCTCGAAAAACCAAAAAAAAAAAAAAAAAAAAAAAACGGAAATGGTACCAGGAAAATGTCTATAGGTGTCTAACCTGCAGTGCCCACTGAGGCCAGAAGAGGGCATTGGATCCCCTGGAACTGGCGTTACAGGTGGTTGTGAGATATCATGTGGGTGCTGGGACTCAAACTCTGAGCCAAGAGGGCAAATAGGACTATGTAGAGTTATCAGAGATGTATTTTGCAGATCTGGACCCTAGGGGGTATTTTTCTTGCTTGAAAGCCTATCTGTGGCAACCTAGACAGTCCTTATCCATAACGTAGAAGGAAGAGTTTACTCTCTGTAGATTTAGAGAACTAAGCATTTCTAAGGCTTCATTGAAACATTTTTCTCAAACATTTTACAATAGCCACTTATTCATAAGTTGCACCTCCCCCCTCCCCAACGATGGCATTAGTCCAAAAGAACTAAATTAGGGTATTTGTGCTTTACCAAAATGGTAACTATAACAGACAGTATCAGAAGGACTGCCTTAACAATGAGAAAGAGAGATGTGTATCTGTTACGTAGATAGGTGGGTCTTCCTGGATAGTCACCAGAGTAGTAACCTGTGAAACAAACAGAGTGCTCTTAGAGTTTCTCAGGATGTGCTGACCCAGGCCCCAACCCCAGTCCACACAGGGTCCAGTCAAACGGTTTAGGTTTGCATACATACGTGAGACACGATCTCTTTGTGGGTTAACTGTAAAACCAAAAGTAAAAGATTATTTTTAATTATATCCTTATAACCATGAACTTGACTTGGCTTTATTTAATACCGTGATTGTAGAGGTTTAAAAGAAAATGGCCCCAAAGGGAGTGGCATGGTTAAGGAGTGGGCTTTGAGGTCTCCTGTGCTGAAGCTATTCTCAGTGTCAGAGACCATTTCCTGTGGCCTTCTGATCAAGATGTGGCCAGCACCATGTCTGCTGCGTGCCACCATGCTAATAGAAGACTACTGAATCTCTGAAACTGTAAGTGAGCGGCCCCAGGTAAATGCTTTTCTTATAGAGTTGCCATGATCATGGTGTCTTCACAACAGTAGAAACCCTAACTAAGACATTAGTTTTCAAAGGTCAATCAAGTTTTTTGCTATTAACTGTCAACTTAGTTTTCCAGTCTTTATATAAACTTAATATGTGAATTTTTGTACTCTACCAGTTAATGGATGAATCTTCTGTTGAGCTATGGTTGAAACTGAAGGTTAAAATATAATGATTTGGTTTGTTTTTTTTTTGAAGATTTTATTTATTTACTATGAATACAACATCTTGCTTCATGTGTGTCTGCACACCAGAAGAGGGCACCAGATCTCACTATGGATGGTTGTGAGCCACCATGTGGTTGCTGAGAATTGAACTCAGGAACTCTGGAAGAGCAGTCAGTGCTCTTAACCTCTGAGCCATCTCTCCAGCCCTAATGATTTGTTTTAAACAACACAAAGTATTTCCTAAGCTCCTCCCCTAAGAAGAAAGGAAGATACTGGTTATGATATGAACAAGAAGGCAGCAGTCTCCCGTCTAGTGTGGTGGGTCATCTGACTTCTCAAAAGCCCTAATTATGTACACCTCTGTCTCCAAGCCACAGATTTTGATACTCAGCACTGGGGAAGAAAAGTGCCCCAACTGCATATACATGACCACTACTGAATGCCTGTGAGGGAGTCAGCGGGGACTCGTGATCATCTCTAGTCAGCAAACCCAAACTGTCTCGACAGTTATGCCCATGAATTTGCAGCATGCTTTTTCTAGTTTTTCTCCTGTGTGCATCTGCAGTCAATCTACATTCAGCTACAGAAACCAATGGACATCCACGTACTAGCTAAAGCCACCTTATGTGCCATGGGTATGTCCAGGCGTCTGCGCAGTAGTTTATCATTCACTGTGCACACAGCATTAGGCAAAACAGTAGACGATGGTGGAATCTTACTTCGTTAGCTAATACTATACTTTGTCAGTTGGGTTCAGTTAAATAAAAGCTTTGATCTTACAATCCTCAACCTTACAATAAAAGGTAGGATGGTCTTTTTTTCATGTGGAAACACTATTATTCAGCATTGGTACAGGAGAAGTGGAATGCTTTCTAGCAGGCCAACGTTTATATTTTAAAAAGTGTATAAGTTGAGCTTTGTACATAGAAAAAAGTTAGTAGTCATCTAAAGTAAATGATCTTGTATGTACCATGTAAGTGTGTGTCTTTCTCACTAGAGTCCAGGGGTTTTCCTTATTGGACTACACAGCCTTCGTCTCAGTTTTACCAAGTGTAGATACCATCTCAAGTTAGAGCTCTAAAGGTTCTAACACAGTAGCAGTTTTGTATCGTGGCAGATATTGACAGTTCATTGAATGCTTTCACTTGCTCTAGGAGGTGCTAGTATTGTATGTTTTACTGTTGAGGAATAGGTACAGAGCGATAGCCAGGATCTCAGAACTGTACATGCATTAGACTGGCACTTTAGCACCTTGGTTCTGAGAAGAAATAACTGCACATGGTGCATATTACTGGGTTTCCTGATGAGGCTGCTATGTAGGAGTAAAAAAAAAAAAATACTGCATTGGGAGAAAAATGGGTCACACCGATTTCCTATCTAAAAATGTTTAAATGGGGGCAGGCAGTTTACTGGAAGTTAAGTCTGGAAGGGGCCTTGGGAATTGTGTATACAACACCCTTCCTACCAGGTTTCATACAGTGAAGCTTGGACGACGAACCATGGGATTGCCATAGCTGCAGTAGCTCAGGTTCCCTTCATACCACAGGAAAACATATCTTAAAGGACACTTGTGCAGGCTTATGTTTGGTCCTAGAACAGTAAGCTATTGGTTTGTCGCAGCTCTCTAGAAAATAGCCACCAGGATAACACAAATGCTTCTACCTTAATTCTATGGAAAGTTTTTGTTATACTTACTGCAGAGATTGTTAAGACACCTGTCATCTTTTGGGCAGTCACTGCAAGTGGGTCCTTGATTGTATGGCCATGTTGGGTAATTCCCTCTGTGAAAACAGAAGACTGTTGTTAGAGGCCCCTGCACAGTTGTGCTTTCCTCTGAGTGCTTGACCAAGTCCAGAATTAACAAGATGGATAAAGATTCAGGAGGCTAATAAAATGCACAGGATGGAAAAGGAAGGTTCGAATATTTGTAGGGTTCGTGTTACGTCCTTGGGTCTGAACTTTGTCTAATTTATATCCTCTCATCTAACTATGATCACTCTGAGAATGAATTATTTCTGTTTTTGTGTAGCAGGTAAGGAAACTGAAGATCTGGGAGATAAATAAAGATCTCAGTTTATGTATGAATCAAGAAGAAATCTAGAAATGTCTTACGTTGGGCTTTTTCTACTTAACCCCTAGCCTATGTGATTACTTCCATTCAAACACTGCCTATTCTAGAAAAGCAATTACACTATATTTTCAGTGTGCCAGGTCACCATAGTTTTTACTAGATACATTATTGGGCTGGGGTAGTGACCTCCAAAAGAAAAAGATGGGCAAATTAGAAACAGTTCATTTGCATATAGGCAAAGTAATATGAATAGTAACTGATAGTTACTGTGTAATAAAAGATCTAAAGGATGGGGAAAGCTCAGTAAAGTGCCTGCCATGCAAAGACCTCACTGTTCATTCCTTAACTCCTAAGAACAGTGCTTGGAGTTCTAGCTTTGGGGAGTCAGGCTGGTGGGTCCCTGGCACCCACGGGCTGGCCAGCCTAGCCTCATGGGTGAACTCCAGGTCCCAGTGAGTAATATCTCAAAAACAAGGGTGTGTGTGTTGTATGTAGGGGATGGGGATGAGGGCTGGAGAGATCGCTCAGTGATTATGGGCCCCTGCTTTCAGAGGACTTGGGCTTAGTTCTTAGCACCCACATGGTGGCTCGCAAAACAATCCATGACTCCTGACCTTGGGCTCCAAGGGATTTGACAACCCTCTTCTGACCTCTGAAGGTACCAGGCACATACGTGATACACATATAAACTTGCAAGTATAACACTTTTACACGTGAACAAATCAAAAAAATCCATGCATGCCAACACATACATGTGACCTGCACACATGTGCATCTATACTCCACAAAATAAGATCTGAGGAGGGGGGGGTCAAGTAATTATAGTCAGTTTCAAAATCGGGTGGAGCATTAACTACTTAGAGAATATGTTATAAGAACATCCACTGTTCTCAAAGATAAAAGTACTGATAATACAGAAATCAGTTATGGCTAAAACGACAATGGTCTTTTCCTAATGAAAGGAAATGTTATTTTCAGTGGAGGTTCATGGAAAGCAAAGATGTAATTTTCCTAATTGAAGTTCATAGATGTCTCCTTCACCAGGAACACCACCCCCCATTAATAAATCCTTATTTAGAACCACAGCTGTATTTAATTCCCAGCCCTCTATACATATATGTATGTATCTTCTAATCTCATTTGATTTCAAGTTAAATTAGGTTGCTTCAGAAATTCACTTTTTGGGGGTCAAGACTGGGAAATATGGTACATTAATAGAGCATTTGCCTAGTATGAATGAAACCTTAAATTCAATCTCCTCAATACTGCAAAAATAATAATTATCCTCAAACTATATCATAGAAAATAGCACAGTCACTGGGGTATCTTTCACTGGTAAAGAGCATAGCACTCAGTAAGTGGTTTCAGTTGTAGAATAATTTTGATGAAATCACTATTCTTACCTTTTTAATTATGCATCCCAAACTAAAAGAGGGGGAAAATTCATCTTGGAGAGAACACAAGACTAGAACTGGATTTGTTTGGGTGGGTGTGATTAAGACAAAGAGACTAACATATCCTCACTTGTGACAAAGTATTTTTGTAACTGTCCTAGAAGTCTGAGTATGAATAAAGCCCCTCCCCCCTTTGCCAGGGAATAGCCTAAGGTAGTGATACCCAAAGAACATCTAACTATACTTATGGTCAAAACTTAATTCTCTCCTCTGTTCAGCAAGCCCCTCCTCCCTCCCTACTCTGAATGTTGTCTTCATCAGTGTTCTATTGCTGTGGAGAGACACCATGACCAAGGCAGCTCTTAATTGGTGGCAGGATTTAACTGGGGGCTTGCTTAAAACTTACAAAGTTTAAGTGCATTAGCATCGTGGTATGAATCCAGGCATAGTGCTGGAGAAGGAGCTGAGATCTACATCCTGATCATAGAGGCAGAGACTATGTGCCATGAGTATTTGAAACCTCAAAGCCCAACCCCTGTGACACTTCCTCCAACAAGGCCACACCTCCTAATGCATATGTCTGTACCTCATAAATGCAACTTTCAAGGTTGGTCTGAAGCCCAGTGAGGAATATGTGTCAAAAAGATAACTATAGTTATTCTCTACAAGTCTTATCTACTAGAATTCACATTTATACTTACTATAAGTATCTTTGTATCACTCAATCGTCGCTAGGTGCTACCTACATATACTTGGTATTCCAGATAATTTTCTGTGTAACTATTACAGCTACAGGAAATGGTCGGTACTATTGTTATTTTTGACCTCTTGGGTACAACAGATTCAGAGACTAATTTGTGCTTACATAGTATTCTAACTCCTAAGATGTCACAAAAAGTTGTCACTGGTTGAATTACAGCTTTGGCTGCTTTTTCTATTTCATGTCTCAGATCAAATTTTTAAGTCAAAACACTTGCTGATTTGTAAATGATGCTTGAGTTCCTCCGGCTCACACTCTATCAGAATATTAAACAAGTTCAGGGAGAAATCAGTTTGTTCCAGTTTAGGGATGCAGGCAAAACTTAGGGCAGAAAATGCAGGGGAAATGCTACACGTGGCAAAGGCTTAAAGCTCCAGAATATAAACAACTACTGTAAGTCACTAAGGAAATCACCCCAACAGACTAAATAGACAATAAGGCCCACGAAGGAAGATATGACTGAACAGTCTGATAAGGTTTGTTTTAATCGCTAGTTATGAAAGATACTAAAGGGAAAAAAAGTAATTTTCTACACTCCATTTTCCCACCACCTACTGGCCATTCACATGAAGCCCAGTCCTGACTCCAGAGACTACAGTTAGAGACTCCAGAGATAAGTGTCCACCTTCTTGTCAGTCAACCTGCCCACTGCAGCAACCACAAGCTAGGCAAAGCCTGGCCTAGAACCCCATTTAGGGACCTCTTTCTGCCTATTACCTCACCCCACTGCTGGACCTGAAACCCCAGTGAGGGACCTCTAGAGCTAGTCCCCTTCCTCACCCCATCTGTCAGTGACTCCACTCGTCTCTTGGCTGGAACTCCATCGAGAGACCTCAAGAGCCAGCCCCCCACCTCCCAGTCCATCTACCTCTCAGGTACTCCACTGACCATGCCAGTTTGGGACTGTGGCGTCCAGCCAAAATTCCAACTAAAAACCATCAGAGACAAGTACCCTCTTGACAATCAGTGGTTAGCTGAGCTCTAGAGCGATATGGAGCCCCATAAGAGAATCCCTGCTATGGGTCTCCGAGTCTGTTCTACCTGCTGGCACAACTATCAGCTACCCCACCCACTGCTCAACTGAACCAGGACCCCAAAGTGGCCCCAAACCTGAAAGCATCACAAAGTTGGTCCATAACCCGAGAAAATCAAAATACTCAGCCAACAAAGGTGAACTCATCTATCCATACAAACACCACCAACTAACACTGAATGCCTATGTCCCATTGCAAAAACATGAATTATCAAATACATCTCGAGAATCCAACACCCCCATAGTAATACTTCCTGAGAAAAGCAACTTAGCCAATGCCCAAAGATAAGAACTTTAAAATTATAAAAGCAGATATGAATAAATGCCTGGATGGAGACCCTGAAAACATTTGAATAAAATAATGGAAACAACATTTGAAAATATAATAAAAGAGACTCTCTGAAGGAAAGCCAAACTGGAATAAAACTTGAAATGAAAAACTCAGGAAGTGAAGACAAAAAAAAAGCAAGACCAAAACATCCATTATATCTGAGATACTATGAAAAGACCAAACCTACAAATGGGTATAGAAAGAAACCCAGGTCAAAAGCCCAGAAAAAAATTTTTAACAAAGACTCAAATTTCTCAATTTTAAAGATTGCATTATCAGATTCAGGAGGCATATAGAACATGTAAACTGAACAAAATAAAAGGGGGAGAAACTCCTTAGGACATAATAATTAAAGCATTGAAATATGTACAGAACTAAGATGGTATTGAAAGCCAGAAGAGAAAAAGACCAAGTCACATACAGAGACAACAGGCCCTTCAAGCGAACATCTGACTTTTCATTGGAGACTTTGAAAGCTTCAACAGGCCAGACTGATGTTCTACAAGTTCTAAAATAGCATAGCTGCTAATCCAGACTATTATACCCAGCAAAACTGTCAGTTCTAATCCAAGGTGAAAAGCTCGGCATGAATGTCCACTAAGCCATCTTTTTGCATAAGATACTGCAAGGGGTGTGTTAGTAGCCTGAAGAAAAGATTAAACACACCCAAGAGGACACTAAGGATAAAAAAATTCTAGAACAGTTAGCCAAGGAAAGTCTGAGGAACCACTACAACAGAAATTAATTAATAAACGTTGTTAAGAAACCAATTCTCTAAATTGCTAACAAAAAGCTAAAAACTAGCAGGTTGGATTAGCAACATTGTTTTACTTCCTCCAAGAAACACCTCACCCTGAAAAGTATAGCACACCTTAGGGTAAAAGGATGAGTAAAGGTCTAAGCAAACAACTAAAAATCCAGCTATTTTATTATATGACACAATACACTTCAAAACTAATCAGATTAGGAAAGGATGCTTCATATTCATTAAGGGAAACCCACCAAGAGGATATTACAGTCCTAAACAGAGACCATCCCACCAACTATCTCCCAATTTTACAAAAGAAACACCTTCACATCTAAAAATCACATTATTGGCCCAAACAGTGATAACGGGTGTTTCTATACACCACTCTCGTCCCTAGGTCATACAGACAAAAACTAAGAAGCCCTGGGATTGAATGGAATATAACAGATGCTTACAGAACACCACATTCAGACACTAAAAAAGAATATACTTCTCAATAGCCCATGGGACTTTCTCCAGCACTGACCTCATATTAGGACACAAGGCAACTCTCAAGAAACGTGGGAAAAACTGAGATGGCACACATCCTATACAAAAGGAATGACCATAGCACCAACAATGAGCTAACCCATGAAACAAGATGGAATGACTTGGCATTACCTACCATTGCTTTTATAATTTATAGCTGCAAAACGTCTATTTCTGGTCTGACCACAGGTTTCTGAGTAGGTATGACTCACAAGCACAGTGAAACTGAATTGCTTTTCTCATCTCCAGATGGGACAAACTGTTTCTAGCTGAAAAACTCAACTGTCAAAAGTAATGAAGTAATTAGTATGAACTGAGTAATTCCACCTGAGGGTTTTTTGTTTTGAAGAGTGGAAAGCATGCTATGATTTTAATAAAATAAGTTAATATCAGTCCTCCTTTCTTGTATTAACAATATATCAATTTATGTCCCCAGTAAGCACTTTAGTCTTGTTACTCTTAAAGATTAATGCCTTTGTAGTGTTAATAAAGTAGGTGCACAGACACACACACACAAGAAAAATGTATTAGAATATTAATGGAGTGAGTCTCTGGGTAGATAATTTAGAGGTCTTCAGATCTTTTTCTTTATACATTTTGTATATTAAAGATGAATATACTGTGGTAACATATTTTTAGAATTTAATTTAGACACTTACCCTGGTCCATAGTTGCATACAAAATGTGCTCCATTAGAAAGGCTTGCAAAGTTAGTGACTTTAGGGCAAAATTGCACTGCGCAGCCAACCTTGTAACTATCTGCCCAAACAACCTGAAAGTACAAGAGAACTTCTTACTGTAAGAAATGAACATTTGATTATCACCAAGCCGTCACAATTATGGTAATTATAGCCATAGCATTCCACCTCTTCATCTCCCAATGATTGCCATAAATTATGTGACTCACCTTGACTAAGAATGATTAGTATCAAAGATTACCGAAAACATTTGAGAACTAGCCCTTGAAGACAAATCAACCATTTAACCGTTTTTACAGTGACACAAAATTATACTTTACAATTATTTTTTTAACCATAATTATCAAGCCATTCTGTGCCAAGAATTGGGCTAAATGTGTGGACACGATGGTGAGTGGCCTAGGTCCTGCAGCAACCTTCACCAAATGCAGACAGAGGCAATCATGGAACCGTTGCATAGAGCTCTGGTGACTATCAGTGGTTCTAATACTCGGAATAGGGCCATTCTGTCAGGAAGTGGAGTTGAGCTGGGGCCTACAGTCTTTAACCCTGGAGCAGAGTCCTGTGTGAGCCCAGGGTGGAGAAGATACATTCACAGAACCACAACAGTATCCAGTCTGGCTGTAGGAAAAAAAAAGCATGCAACTCTAGAAAATCAAACTATCACTCCCCCAGGGGTGAGTGGGGGGGGGGGGGGGGAAGAGAGCAGGCGGGATGGAGTCTGAAATCGCCTAAGGGATGCAGTCACGTGGGTAGGAGGACCAGCCCTTGGCAGACTGACTTCCTCTTGCTTGGGGAGCTAGGAAGAATCTAGGAAGGCTGTTCCTAGAATTTCAGAGACAAGGAGCACTTCCCTCCTTTGGCAAGAGACAGTCCCTCCTCCATGACTGAAAAGGAGTGCTCCCTGAGGAACAGCTTTCTAAGTATCTGAAGCCAAGAGTTCTACCAGGGAGCTCCAGTCTAGACAGGCAGCAAGGTGCCTTGGGCTTCCCTGTTGAGACATTAAACATTGTTTGGCCGGTGTGACCCTTGTACTTTTTACTTTCCAATCACTTTTATTTTGAAATTTTCAATTTTACTCATTTTAGTTGTGACTGACTTGATCTGGGATGCTCTAAGGTGCAGAATTCTGTGCCCAGGTCAGACTTGCAAAGTGACAAACACTGGTGTTCTTATACCTCCCTCCAGGTGCTCCCTCCACACGCCAGGAGTCCCGTGTCACCATTCCTACCTATCAGCTTAGCTCACTTAGCATTTGGTTTAATCTCTTAGTTTTTCAGCACTTTGTTTCATGGTGTTTTCAAATTCCTTTTATCTTTTGGATCTCCTGTACTTCTTCAGAAATATGAAAATAATGCTTAGCATGCATAGTATGCTTCCGTTGGTGCATTAACTGTTAGTCACTGAGGTCGAATATCAGAGGGAAGGCATGTTCTAGGCCGTAGACACAGTATGTTCCAAGTCATGATCTCAGTGTGTTCTAGCTCATGATCTCAGGATGTGGTCAGTTGTCATCATGCCTTTAGGTCTGTGATGAGGGTCATGGAAACTAGTCACACCTTGTGATGTCCGGGAAAGAAAGAAGAGGGCCGAGTCCCAGTATTGATTTCAAGTGAACACCCCCATGACTTATCTTCCTTTGTGGGGACCACACCTAAGCAAAGCTTTCACCGCTTCCCAGCAGGGCTTCAGGCCTTTAGGAGACTTTGCCAATCTCAACTCTAACAGTTTTCAAGGTTGCATTTAAGTGGATATGGTACCTCACACCTGTAATCCCAGCACTGGGGAAGCTGAAACAGGAAGCTCACTGTGAGTTCAAGGCCCACCTGGGCTACACAGTGAATCTCAGACCAGCCTGGGGTGTAGAGTTGGTCCTGTTTATTTACCTACTAATCAAAGAAGCAAGCCAGTGTCACGAAGTGCCAGGGCAGGAATATGAGCTCAGAGCCAACTGGAACTTTCCCACAGTGAATCTTTTAAACAAAAATGAAAACTTGCTAGTCTGTCTCCAGTGAACATGAAGGTAAAGTGTTGAATTAGCATGTCAAGAAATACTATACTATGCAGAGAGATAATCTGAGTTTGTGCCCCGTACTCTGTACCAGCTTTCATTAGGCAACATATGTAAACAACTTGATCTTCACAAAGAGGAGAGTAAGTAGAGGTTACAATCCCCACTTCAGGTAAATTTCCAGCAGGAAGTTGAAATGACTGAATTGCTCTGAAACCCACACCAAGATCTCTTTAAAGGATGAAACGGGAATTGTAGCCAAGATGTATCAGAATCCTCCTCTAACACTATTATTAGAAAACTAGACCTAAGCCGGGTGTTGGTGGCACACGCCTTTAATCCCAGCACTTGGGAGGCAGAGGCAGGTGGATCTCTGTGAGTTCAAGGCCAGCCTGGTCTACAAGAGTGAGTTCCAGGACAGCCTCCAAAGCCACAGAGAAACCCTGTCTCGAAAAACCAAAAAAAAAAAAAAAAAAAAAAAAAGAAAGAAAGAAAGAAAGAAAGAAAGAAAGAAAAAAGAAAACTAGACCTAATCTTTGCTAAGTACTTCCCAACCAACAGTTGTTGGTACAGATTTCTCCACAGCACACTCTGAGAGGTTATACTCTGAGGTGTGACTAAGGAGAAACAGGGGCAAGGCAGGGAAGGCAGGATATGGTTGGAAATAGTTTCTGGCTCTCAGGCTAGCTCCCTCTGATTTTGGGAGACACAGGTGTGAAGTTTTGGGAGACACACATAATTCAGAACTAGTATAATTAGGAGCAACTGACACAGGCCAAATGAGCAAAGAAGCTATACAGCCAAGGGCTCAAGGGCTCACACAATGTTCCACACTGCAAGAGACATATGACCTGGTTCTTGAAAATGGGATTTGTAAAGTAAAAGACTTTAGGATAAATTAACCAGGTATAGAAGGTGTACATATATATGAACAGGCCTTTAGTTGAATTTTAAGGAGCTAAGCATACAAAATATGTGGCACTCAGAAGATGGTTCTCTTTATGGCAGACCTATTAGCCATACTTGTATCCCCTCATCCCAGGAGTCAGAACAAGAGTAAACCTAAGTTCATGTTATACAGACCTGAGACAGCAGAAACATACCTAAATGCGTAAACTCTACCTTAACATCTAGGGGGAAAAAGAGGACCAATACTTGGGACATAAAACTAATTTCCAAAATCATATCTGTCACTCATATAGTCATGAGACCAAATTCATGATCATAACCTCTTCAGTAGACTACCATGTACTGTCCTCCCTGCAGAAGGAGGACCTCATCATGGGAGAAAGTTCAGAAATTCCTGAGTCTGGGGGGAATCTAACGCTCTATAACCATTTTGTGGGTGAGCATGGTGTTTTATCTTTCTAAGCTGAAATGCCTGTCCAGTTCTTACCACAGACATAGAAGGGAGGTTCTACCACCTCTATGTCAACCATACATCAACAAATTGAGTTGGAGGGTTCACAATGTTTCCCTAAGCCACTTAACCAGTGAGAAGAGAGTTCATATTCATTTATTAGATAGACTACGGGCTTTAAGTAATATAACACATGTAGGTATCTCATATGAGTGTCTACTACTGATGGCTCTTGCATGTGACTTTATCCATATAACTAATATCTCCAAGTACGTTTTCCTCTCACATTTATAGTCATACTAGCTCACTAGATATTTTTCTCAACACCAAGTCCAGTTCTCGCCTTTAAAAAGGTGATTTCAAAAGGGAGAACTGATGAGCAAAGGGGATAAGACAGGGCTGGTTTAATCCACAGAAACAGTTGACCTGAACAAGGGTGAGCTCTTGAACCCCAGATGGGACCAATCCAGACCCCCTTAATGTGAGTGTCAGTGAGGAGGCCTAGGTAATCTATGGGGCCTTGGGTAGTAAATCAGTATTGATCCCTGGCATACAAATGGACTTTGGCTGCCCAGCCCACAATGAGGGATGCTGTCTCAGCCTGGACTCTTGAGGGAACGCCTAGGCCCTGCCCTCCATGAAATGACAGACTCTGGAGATCCTCCATGGAGGGCTTCACCCTCCCTGGAGATCCGAGTGGAGATAGAGGGGATTGAGGGGCCTGGTAGGGGGGTTGGGAAGGAGGGGAGGCAGAGTGAGCTGGGATTGACATGTGAAACAAACTTGTTTCTAACTTAAAATTTTTAAAAAGGGAAGAAAAAAAAAAAAGACTTTGACCATACCAAGGAAAAAAAAGTGATTTCAAGAGACTTCAGGGGCATATTTACCTGAGTGTAATGGCCACAGACATTTGAGCATCTCCTAGTCGTAAAGTCATAATTCTTGATTTCATCATACCAGTCTGAGATGGCTGAAGATGCCGAAAAGAGGGTTAAAGATCCAGTCCAGATATTTTCTCCCACTGAGGTGAAGTTTGGGTGCAGCCCTGATTTCAGCTGTGGGTTGTGTGAAAACCGACAAACTTTTGCCCATGATTTTGCAATGCGGGCTAGTTCTGGGTCCCAAGTCTGAAACGCAATTAAACAATATACAAGTAAAAAAAAAATCTCTCCCTCAAAATTGTAACAATACAATGTCATTTCTCTGCTCGTTCGGATCTGTGGACACCACTGGCTTACTACTTAATTTACCACCAGGTTCCAGTTCCTTCTGGAGTGGGAGACCAAGGGGCAACTGAGGTGTGATGACTAGAATCCAGGAGGAGCGACAGACTATGATGCTAACTAGTCTCTAATGCTGACTTTGGCAAAATATGAAGTCATCAGGTCAGGGAGAATGAGGAGCAGAGAAGCAGAAACATCCGTGTCTGCAGGTGATATGGATATATAACCAGAAGCCCTAGGGGGTGAACAAGTCCAGTAAAGCAGCAGGGTAAATAAAGATTGGCATGCAACACATGGCAGGTTCTGTATAAAGTCGTAATGAGCTGCTAAAAGGAAAAACCTCCAGAATAGTTCCATTCTGATAGTCCTCCAACAATAAAATATGTAGGAGTAAACCTTACCAAGGGGACGAAACACCTCTACAATGAAAGCCAGGCAACTTAGACTGCAATTAAAGACAGGAGCAAAATTACATAGCAACAAAAATAGTTTTATGGTTGGGGCTCACCCCAACATGAGGAGCTGTATTAAAGGGTCATGGCATTAAGAAGGTTGAAAACCACTGCCCTAGAGAATGGGGAAGCTGTTCGTGCTCATGGATTTGGAGATTTTCAAACAGCAGTACTTTACAGATCCTTTCTCTGCTAATGCTTTCTTTTTAAAGCTAGAAAAAGAAATCAGAAAATTAGCACGGAAACACAAAAGATTCCATATGCCAAAGGACTTCTGAACAAAAATAACAGCGCTAGAGGAATCGTCAGTCTGGACTTCAAAAACAAAAGTGCGGTCTGCAGAGACCAATGGGAGAGGACACCAGACCAATGGTGCTGGAGAAACTGGATATGCTCACACGGAAGCATGAGAACAGGATTCTTGAGGTGTATGAATGAACAAGTCAGACGTGCTACCAAAACTTTAATAGCAGACCTTAACTGCCACAGCCAGTGCCTCGATTTCACTTCCTCTTTTTCTCTTCGCAGCTTTTATCTCTTTCTCTTTTGACTGATTGCTTCCACTAAGGTTTCAATATATGAGGCACAGGCAGTACTTTTCTGAATAGGGCTTCAGTAGATCAGGAATTAAGAGCAAGTGACAAAGGTAATGAAAGTAAGACTGCATCAAAAGCTGTGGGCACAGCCGGGTGGTGGTGGCACTTGCTATTAATCCCAGCACTTGGGAGGCAGAGGCAGACAAATCTCTTGAGTTTGTAACTCTGTAGACCAGCCTGGTCTACAAAGCGAGTTCCAGGACAGCCAAGGTTACACAGAGAAACCCTATCTCAAAAAAATCAAAACACAATAACAAAACAAACAAACAAAACACCAAGGGCACAGTGGTGGCATTACCAGAGTGAAGTGATAGACTGAAGAGTGGGAGAAAAACTGGGTGTGATGGGTGGGACACGCCTTTAATTACAACACTGAGGGTAGGATGCAGAGAGTGAGGCAGATCTGAGTTTGAGGCCAGCCTCATCTACATATCAAGTTCCAAGCTAGCCAGGAATAGTGAGACTGTATTTCAAAAAGGTAAAAGGAAGATAATAATTTTCCAGATCCTTACCCACCAACAGATTAATATCCAAAATGTAAAAAGAACGAAAAGTGTTAAACACTAATAGAATGAAAAATCCAACAACCAATGAACGGACAACTGAATCAAACAGTCGTCAAAAGCTTAGATTAACATCCTTTGCCACTAGGGGATGCAGACAGAAAGGTACATTAAGAGCACATCTTACCTTATTCAGTCCAGTATCTAACAAAGAACATAATGGTACCAGAGACGTAAGTGGAGAAAAGCCCTAATACACTGCTGATAGGAATGTAAATTAGTTCAGCCGCTATGGAAATCAGTATATATGTTTTCCAAAACATAGAAACGTAAGGCTATCATGTGATTCAGCTATGAAATTTTTGGGCATATATTTCCAGGAATCAAAATTAGCACACTTTAGAGATAGCTGCATATCCATGTTTATTGTGGCACTATTCACAATATGCAAGCTATGGATTACATCTAATTGTTCACAAATAGAAGAAGGGTTAAGGAAATGTGTATGTGTACATATGTGTTTATATACACATACCGTGGGCGATTGTTGAATCACAAAAACAAAATTATGACATTAGCAGGAAAATGGGTGGATTGGAGATTCATCATACTAAGTAAAACAGAGCAGACTTGGAAAGGTAAGTATCACATCCCTCTTATACGTGAAGCCTAGAGAAGAACGAAGACCACACAGAAGTGAAGAGGCGAGAGATACAGGGTCAATGGAATGAGTATATAAATAAGTTACCATAATGAAACCACCATTATTTTATACAGAGCATGATGATGAAGGAAAAACAACCTTAGGACACCAAAAGAAACATCACAAATATTAACAGGGGAGAAAAAGTGACAAGAAGGAGAAGTCTGTTGCTCGAGGCCAGGGAAAGAAGTGTCCAGAAAGAACTAAACTATGCCTGTGGTGTTGCTAAAAACAGAGTCAGGGAAGGGCTCCATGGTGTGGGTTTTGATCACTCACTGAGTTTACTGCACACAGTATTTACAAGCAAAACAACCAACCAAGCAAGCAACCAACCAACCATTCAGGATTACCCAGAATTCACAGCCTGCTTAACGCAGGCAAGCTGCTTCTGATGGACAGGTGCTACAAATACGGCTAGCACACCTCACCAACTCACCATGTACAGCATATTCGTGGCCGTCGGATTCACTTTTGACCGATATTGGTTGTGAGTTTGAACACATTCTTGGATGAAATCCTCATTGGTTACATCAGGCAAAGTCATCGCTGTATATGAAGAACTAGAAACGGAAGAAGCCATGCAGACCATCATAGCAAGGATGGCCTGCATGATCTCTCTGCCTGAGGATGGACCTAGAGCCCAGAGCCCCGGGGTTCTGATAGAACGCTTAGTCTTCTCAGTTTTCAGACTTTTTTTTTCCTGTGCTGGAGGCTGAACCCAGGGTTCTTTGTGCTGGGTAAGGGTTCTGCCCCTGAGCTACCAATCTTCAGCACTGTTTCTTCATGGCCAGCTTTCCCAAGAACAGTCGGCTTCAGCTTGCGAAGCCTGAAAGCAGAACATAAAGTCATTATGAAACTGACGCACTGGATTTCTCCATATATGGCGTGCAGCTCATTTTGTTCTTAACGCCATCTCGTCAGTGCTTCTCAGTGACACAGCACCTATAAAACAGATTCTTGTAAGGCGGCATCAGAGTTTGAGCGGGGAGGTAGTCCCAAAGGAATTTCTGTGGTCTTCAGAAATAACTTCAGCATTAGTCAGGCTTCTCTAGAGGAACAGAAATGACAGACAATATGTATTAAAAGGAGAGTTGTTAGACTGGCTTAGAGGATGTGGCCTGAGGGGTCCCACAATGGCTGTCTCGTGCCAGTAAGGCTGAGAATCTGGTGGCTGTTCAGTCTCTGAGGGAGTCTGGAGTTGGAGCTCTTGAAGTATTCCTGAAGAGGAATCCTGAAGCAACACCACAGCAACAGGAAGTGAAAGACCTTATCTGCCAGGAGGGCAGACAAGCAGACAGAAAGCAATATTTCTTCCAGGTCCCTTTGTTAATGTGGGCTGCCACAGAAGGCGTGGCTCCATTTAGAGTGGGTTATCCTGCTCCAAATGATCTGATTACAAAAATCCCTCCCGGGAGTGCCCAGCCATCTGGCTTTTGTTGATTCCAGATGTAGTCAATTTGACAGCCGTGATTACCATCACAAGTCTCCATCAAAGAGACTTGCAAATGGTTTTGTAAAACCTTTCTGTTGGCATCCTTTGTGCGATGATCCCTGCTTTATCAGAAGGTGTCTGAATGAGTGCTCTGTACAGACAACTCCGACACAGACATCGTGGTAAAGCTGAAGTTACAACTTATGCAGGTAAGAGATTATGCTAATAATCAACCAATAAATGCCTAATTAAGGGTATTTACTGAGAAACTTGCCAGAATCACTACTGTATGCAGTGGGGCCATTATTAAGTAAAAAACATTTCTAGGACATGGGCAACAATACCCAAAAGTTTACCAAAAAAAACTGTCATTAAGTTATTAAGACAGTTATTAAGTGACCAGTGACTGATGACCAAAACAACAGTATGTATGCACTGGACAAAGGTGGGATGACTTTCAGTCCAGAATAATTTACAGTGGTGCAAAATTTCATGATATTCCTCAGAAGTAACGCACAGCTTAAAACTTGTGATTCCAGAATTTTCTATGCAATATTTTCAGACGGTGGTTGACCATTAGTGACTGAAGTTCAAGAAAGTAAAAGCCATGAGTAAGAGAGGACTGCTGTATTTGGTTAGCATCATGACAGGTGGAATTGTGAAATGTACACACAGGCATGCTTGGGGAAGGAGGGGGAGGGAGGGAGGCAGGGAGGGGGGAGGGAGGGAGGGGGAGAAGAAAGAGGTGGGATGTTTTTGTTTCATTTCTGTTTGTGACTAGGTGTGAGACCTTGAACAACTTAGTGTACTCTTTAAGTTCTTAGAAACCTATTTAGAGAGACTGATGGAAGATATTTCTGTCTCTTGGACTGCAGAGGTTTGGAAAGGTCAAACAGACCTTAATTCAATACACAAAACTCCTGCTGTGTGTATAGGGTTAATGATGTAAAGCTAAAAGCAACCAAGGGTGTAACCATGAAAGTTGCTACGAGACCAGGGGAAGAGCAATTACCACACAGCCAGCTGACCCGAACAGTGGGGCTCAGCAGGAGAGGATAGAGATAACAACCCTCTAATGCTGCCACCCTTTAATACAGTTCCTCATGTTGTGGTGACCCCTCAACCCTAACATTTTTTGGTTGCCACACCAGAATTGTCATTTTGCTACCGTCATGAGTCATATAAGGTAAATATTTTTGGAGATAGAGGTTTGCCAATGTGGGGTGAGACTCACAGGTTGAGAACCACTGATCTAGCAGCAAGGTTTTTTTGGTTGTTTCTTTTCCTGAGCCTAGACTCAGGCCGGTGAGTATTAAATAAAAGATAGGAAATTTATGGCAGCATTGCTGTTAGAGTCAATCGTAAGGAACCTTGGTGGATTCCATGGCAGGTGAGGATGATTGACATGGAAGGACAAACACACCAGACAAACAGAGCGGAAGTGAGAAGTTTTATTAGAAAGGGGAGAGAAGGAGGAAGGAAAGAGAAAAGAGGTAAGGAGACACAGGGACAGACAGAGAGACAGAAAGAGGACAGAAGAGAAGAGGGAGACAGGAAAAGCCCTGTCTGCCCCAGGGGAACTGCAGCAAAGAGAGCGGGAAAGAAACGGCGAGAGCCAAGAGGAGAGAATGAAAGAGCTCTTAAGTGGGCGGAGCCTGCAGAAGAGTAGTCATGCAACCCTGGGCTGACCAGCATACTGACTGAGTGCGTTCTGCCAGGTGACAGGGGCAGGCCAGCATAATGCCTGAATCCTTACACTTGCTGTTGTTACATAAGCAAATGGCCTTGCGAGACACTCAGATATCATCTCAGATTTCATCTAGAATGCTGTTTCTGCTAGCATTCCATTCTAATATACCAATAAAGACTAGGTATTTTTTGACTGAGGTTCATAATCAACGTTTGGATCACTTTGGTAATAATCACCAGTGAGGAGGTTCTTCCTTGTAGGCAGGCCTGAACCTGCTTTCCACCCTCTGGGTCTGTTAGTTACCCTGTCTGGGTTTTGAATACAGAACAAGAAACGTAAGCCACCAAGTGAGCAAATTTAGCGGTAGCTCGAGCATCCGCGGTGCATACATGCAGCTCCCAAGAGTGAACATTACAGTCTTATTATCGTCTTGAAATTTGTATCTAGCTTCGTTTCTGTTGCTGGAATTAAACGTGGGGCAGAAGAACTTGGGGGAGGAAAGGGGCTTTACGTAGATTTCAAAGGTAGGATTGTGACTCACACACACACACACACACACACACACATGCTTGGTGAAGGAGGGTGGGAGGAGGGAGAAGGAAGTAGGGGGTGCTCTCTAAGTTCTTAGAAGTCTATGAACTTTCATACTACACCCAATTAGTGAGAGAAGTAGGGGCGGGAACTCAAGTTCCAACGGGGCGGGGCGGGGGGGAGCAGGAACTGAAGCAGAGACAAGGAAAAATGCTATTTAATGTTTTTTTCAGCTTACTTTCTTACAGTTCCCAGGACTAGCTGCCTAGGGGTGGCACTGCCCACAGTGGTCTCCACCCTCCTATGTCAATTATGAATCGAATACATGCCCCATGGACTTGCCAATAGGCCAGTGTTATGGATGCAATTCTTTACCTAGGGTTCTCTTCCCAGGTGACCCCAGTTTGTGTCAAGTTGATAAAACCCTAGCTGGCACAATACCGAAATGATCAATTAGTCCAGAACTAATCTTCAGAAAGGAAAGTGCCACCAGAGGCCATTTTCTGTTAGTACGCAGAGCAATTTAAGTCCTCAGAGCCCACCCTCACCTTCCCCAGTCACATTGCATTTTGCAGCTTTAAGCCCTGCTGTGGTTTACCACAGAACAGCGGAAATGAACACCCTGAGCTCATCTGTGGGGGTGGTGTGCAGGGGGGAACTTCACTCTTGCCTCCAGTCTTTGGCACAGTGGCATTTTAGCAAATTCTGTTTCTGATTTTCTGTATTTTTATTTTTTACAGTGGAGATAGATTGCCTTTTGTAGTAAGAAAACACACACAGTTTTGGAGAGTCATAAGCAAATCAACACAGAGACACAGCATGATAAACCTGTACACACATAAAAAGATATTAGTGCCCCCTGTATGACTGTATGACTGTCACTGCCTGAGAGGGTGGAGGAGAAATCACATAGGAGCCACTATACTCTTCCCTCTGGAATTAGATTCTGGAAACACCTAGGTGGCAAAAGCCTCCATCACACTGGTTCTCAACCCCAGCTGGGTCAGATGACCCTTTCACAGGGGTCGCCTAAAACCAATCAGAAACATGTTTGCATTATGATTCATAACAGTAGCAAAATCAGTTATGAAGTAGCAATAAAAATAATTGTATGGTTTGGGGGTCACGGCACGAGGAGCTGATGGCAGCTCCATTGGGAAGGCAGAGAACCACTGCCCTAGAGGCTGTTTCTTCAGCTCTCAGGTCATTCTGTTAGTTGCCTATTTTCCTTCAATAAGTACCATTCAAGTTGGGTAGCTCATCTTTATACCAGGAATTCTGGCTCCGGGGTTTTCCTGTTTGATGCAGGGCCTTTCTTGAGATTACAGGCATGAACTACCACACCTGGCTTCCATTTTTTGTTTTGAGACATGGTCTCTCTAGTTTATAGCCCTGGTTGTCCTGGAACTTACTAGACAGATCAGGCTGGTCTTGAACTCACAGAGTTCCAACTGCCTCTGCCTCCCCAGTACTGGGATTAAAGTTATGAGCTACCACCATACCAGCAAGATTTCTAACATACTGCTATTCTTTCAGTCATGTGTATGCACATTTGAACACACATACCTGTGTGCTTAAATAAAATATAATCTACACTTAAAAATTTTTTTTTGCTTTTTTGAGACAGGGTTTCTCTGTGTTGCTTTGGAGACTGTCCTGGAACTCGCTCTGTAGACCAGCCCAGCCTCGAACTCACAGAGATCTGCCTGCCTCTGCCTCCCGAGTACTGGGATTAAAGGCGTGGGCCACCAACGCCCCATAATTTTATGTATTTTGTATCAGTTTTCCATAATCATAGTCTCCTAAGAATACTATTGGTTATTACAACTCTTCATAAATACTTCATGAGCTATATTTTCTATGAATGAATGCATCATATTTTGCATACTCTTATATATACATACATATGAAAATTATTCTTTAATTTTTTTCATGAATAATGCTGTGGAAATCTTTCTATAGAGAGAATCATGTGAAGTTATCTTTAGAACATATACTGATGTATATTACCATCAGCATGTCTGTATCAGGATGATTTATCTCAATAGACAATAAAGATACTTACATATATGTCTGGCTTTTCATATTGTAAGATAACAATAGAGTGAGATAATAACGAAAGAGGCCAGAATACATTTTGTTCCGAAACTACTATAAGAAAAGAAATCTCAGTTCCAAATATAACAAGGATACTTGAGGAATTATAGTTACAAAGTGGAGGACTGAAGATTTCTGTTAAGTCTGAGTTAACACTGCTGATGCCAAGACAGGAAGTTCAGATTATCAAGACAGGAAGTTCAGATTATCAAGACAGGAGAGATGACTCACTCTCCAGACTGCCATAAAAACAGTGCTTAGCTTGTCCTGACCAGTTTAGTCAAGGGGTCTTGTCAATACCCAGTACCTCCCCTTTCCTCCTTTTACATATTAGATTTTAGTTTATCACTTCCTGACTTTTGCTGATCTTGGGGTACAGTTTTTCTAAAGATGGATCTGACCTAGAATTTCCAAATTTGCCCTTTGATTTGTGATGTTATCTTAAAAAAAAAAGAGCTCCCAAACATTACAAGTGCCAGGATCAACTGTGCTCACTCCAACACACAACAATGTCTTTTTTAAAAAAATGAATTTGAAGGTCATTG